TCTTTTTTTTCTCCAGTTTTGAAAGCAAATTTCCTTTTTTTTTTGATTTTTTTTTTTTTTTTTTTTTTTTTTTTTTTTTGGATGAAAAAGAAGTGGATGATTGCACCACATCTGAAGTAGTTGGGGGCTTTCAACTTTGGTTATCTTTGTGTTAAATGGCAGAAAATTTCTTAAAATCATTTATACTTAATAATTCAAAACAAAAATTTATAGACTTTTTAACCTAGATTTTGCTTCACTTCCTACCTTTTGGGAAAGGTTTCATTATAGTTGACCTTAAACCTGCATTAGTTTCGCACAAGATTTATCAGCTTAACATTTAGCATTATGTAGTTATTGAAACTGATAAGTCATTAACAATAGCAATTAAAATATATTCTGTAAATAGTAACTGCTTTTTGTGCATTTATAATGAGCGAACTATCTCTGCTGTTGGTAATGGTTAGGTGATTTAAAGTTTTAGTCTGCATTTCAGGAGAATATATTTTTCTGCTTGTGCTTTTTGGTAGTGTTTATGTTGATGTATTTATAAACAAGTGCTTGTTTAGCTAATGCATATTATAAAAACTGTTACCTTTTTGGCTATATGTTTCCAAATTTTTGGTCAGAATTAAAACTCTTAATAACCTGAGCTGCTTCTCATTAAATTACATTAGGTTTTGTGTATACATCTTACGTTCTTCAACTGTAAAGGTGGATTTAATAGAATTATCAACCTCAAAGTAATAAAGTGAGAATTAGCTGAAATATTTTTTTTCAACTTAGTACCTTGCTTGTCTCATGATAAGGACTCCATAAATATCAAGTATTTTGATTATTTTCTTTCCCAATCCATATCATTCTTCTACCTACAGGTTTTTAAAGCAAAAATATAAAATAAAAGTGCAGTAAAATTAAAAAAAAATATATTTAAAAACAAGAGAAATAAACTAAGAACAAAATTAAATAGGGTTACAGATTCTTATGAAGACAATTGATGAATATTTAAGTAGGGAACTTAATTCATGAAATGTTGTATATACTGACGATATTCTACTGAAAGAGGTTTTAATATTTAATGATCCTATTAGATTTAATAAAACATGAGCAGGTATGGATTTCAAGAATATAATTCTATCCATTAACAGGAAGATTTCATGTAAATGAGTGCCCATATAATTATCCTTAAAGACTAAGTGTATTTACAATATATTAAAAGTGCCTCTAAAAACCATGTCTGAATTTCTTAGTATTTTAAGTTATCCAACAAAACATTAACTAAAATAATTTATATATTATTTTAATTTGAGTGATCCAATATTTTTTATATAATTTTGCTTTGAAGCACTGTTTTGTTGAATTCTAAGGAGTCTATAATACTGGGATATCAGTAGATTTTATTATATTTCAATATTATTATATAAAATATTAATTTCAAAGTAGCTTAAAGATTTTTTCCTGCATTAAAAAATCAATTTATAATTTTAATTGATTTAGTCCTATAGTGTTATCTGAAAATTATAGCTTCCTTTTGACCTTCAGTGATACAAAAATTACAGTTGCTTGGATTATTTATTAAGATTATTTTTAAATACTGAATTAAAATACAATGTTATAATTTTTTAATATGTGTTTAATGAAAACAAGTAGGAGGTGGTATCCCTTCATAGGAATCAAAGTGATTGCTAATTTACAAATAGGCTAACATTCCTTAGTTTCCAATTAGTATCACTGTTCAAAGGGAAAAAATCAAATGTGGAAATAATTCCCTCATTAATTCACATAAGCTTACTAATTCTTATTCCTATTTTCCAAGATGACAAATCACAGATATAAAAAGCACTTGATTTCATATCGATTCGGTATTTTGCAAATGATTTTTTTTTCTTGTTTTATTTGAGAAAGAAGGAAAAATAATTTATAGACCTGTATGATGGGTTACAAGTCTCTTCATTAAATTTCCATTTCGGTAAATGCCAAAATAACCGTATCACAATTACATTTTACTAACTTTTACTCATTGAATGAGCCAAATCAACTGCTCCAAGATAATTTCCAGGCTACCAGGTTTGTGTACTTCATTTCTAAGCTCTTTTGTAGTTATGCATCTATACTCCCTCATGGCCTGAAAGAATCTTTCCAATATTTCAGATCTCGGTAAAAAGTTATAAACCTAGGGAACTCTGAATTGCACTGGAAAACTCTGGAATGTGACCCATACTTTAAACTTCCTAGATTACATAATCTATACAGTAGTTTTGTCCTGGAAATGAGCTGGGGGCAAAGTTGTGAAATACCAAAGTGCATTTGTAGATTTGTTAGCTTTCCGATTGGCAATTTTATCTCTGTAAAGCTATTACAGTCTCTACTACATCATAAAGCAACTTGATAAACAAAATCAATAACAAATCCTAGGGGAAAAAAGAAACAACAATAGTCTTCTACACACCTATTGAATGGCCAAAATCCAGAACACTGACAACACCAAATGCCGTTGGAATGTAAAATTGCATAGCCAGTTTCTTGCAAAACACATTCTTATGATATAATCCAACAATCAAGCTCCTTGGTATTTTCTCAAAGGAGCTGAAAACAATGTCCACACAAAAACAACATGCACACAGATGTTTATAGCAGCTTTATTCATAATTCTTAAAACTTAGAAGTAACAAAAATGTCTTTTAGTAGTTGAGTGGATGAACTGCCATACATCCAGACAATGGCACATTATCCCCTACTAAAAAACAAAAGAGCTATCAAGCCATGAGGAGATATGTGGGGAACTTAAATAAATACTATTAGGTAAAAGAAACCAATCCGAAAAGGCTACACAGTGTATGAGTCCAACTATAATACTCTAAGAAGGATGAAACCATGGAGACAGTAAAAAGTTCAGTGGTTACCAGGTATTAGGAAAGAGAGAAAGATGAATAAGTAGAACACAGAAGAATTTTAAGGCAGTGATACTACTTTGTGTGATACTATAATGATGGCTATTTGGCATTATACATTTGTCCAAACTCATAGCAACTCAACTCATGTCTAACTCAACAGCAGGAGTGAAACCTAATATGAATTATGGACTATGGGTGATAAGGATGTGTCAACATTAGGTTCATCAAGTTGTGGCAAACGCATCACTCTGGTGGAGGATGTGGATAATGGGGGAGTCTATGGATGTGTTGGAGGAGTAAGGGGAAATAGGAAACCTCTGTACCTTCAGTTCAATATTGCTGTAAGTTTTAAACTACTCCAAAAGCAAAGCTTATTTTTAAAGCCTTGATTTTACCCGTATTTGTAGAATTTACATTAAAAAATAAAGCCTTTAGAAAATGCTGTTTAACATTCAGAAAGGGGATCTTTAGTTAAAATAACTAGTTCCTTTGGTGCCTGGGATTGAGCTAATACTTGGGGACTCTCAGTACCTGAAATCATATTATGAAGGCTGCTTCTAACCAGTAAGAGCGACTTTATTATCAGACCTGCAGTTTCAATGCAACGTCCACTAATATCTCAAAAGCGGCAAACAAAACAACAAAACAAAACCTAAAACTTGCTGTGTCATGATAACAGGGAGAATATGAGGATTTGTGCAAGAGATGGAGGTAGAGAAGTGCAGCCTTTTCCTGTAGTAGATTTCATGTCCTTGAAATTTAAGTTGATTTCCATGTTTGATTGGATGTTGAAGATTGTCAACCCAGGATGTATGGTTTAATAATCTCAGTGACTCCAGTAATTTTAATTTGCTTACTACTCATTTACAAGTGACAGATACCTAAAATAAACTAGCTTAAGAAAAAAAAATATGTGATGGATCATAGAACTAAGGATTCCTTTCATTATCCAGACTGATTTAATATTTTACCACTATTCTGGGGGGTGGGCCTGTTTATCAGGCCCAAGAGGGGACCCAGAGAGTTGAGGATGCAATTCCTAAAACGAAAAGGAGTTTGTTAGCAAAAGGAGGATAGGAGTGTGCACAGGTACTATATAGCCCATTAAAGGAACATACAGGATTTAGAGTGTTAACTGGAATATTTTGATGTCCATTGCTTTGTGAAGCCACCTTAATGACTAAAGCAATACTGGCTCTGTTACCATATGGAGTAGATTTTCTTGACAAGGAAAATGGAACATGGAGGGAAGAGATACTACAGACTGTGGGAGAGGAAGTGGTAGTAACAGTTAAGATCAAGTTACTTCAGGTCCTAGTTGACACTGTGATATTCAACTTTAAAGAGTAAATCTCAAGCAATAACCCTGGTGGTAAGTGGCGCACCATCAGGAAAGGATGAGCAGAAAGTCATAAAGATGTGGTCATTCCACAGAAAACACCCTGACTACAGCTTCGTAGAGTTAAAATCTGAAAGCCACTAGCAGAAACACACTGGCTGATATGAACTGTCGTATTTCTTTACAGACATATTCTGAAGGAGTTAGTATGCTTTGGCTCATTCCATGCTTGGTAGCCTTAGGGTGCGGAACAGAGAGTACACTATGACCTTGTTTCTTACTATTATCGCTAAATGAATCTGAACGTCACACCAAATATTAATGTTGCCATGGGAATAGAAACACAAAAGTAACAAAATTAAGGTTAAAAATCTTTTTCTTCTGTTAAAATCCTATTTCATTAGTGATACACCCCAAAATAGTACCTATTCTTTGACATTGTTATACTTGTTCAAAAGCTTGCAAATTAGTGTAAACTCAGGACCTGCGGAGCATCCTCTCAGCATTATGAGATTCCAGGAAACGTGAATAGGATGTTTCAGTTGTTAGGTAATTTCCGGATCCCCCCTTTCTTTTTTGTGCTCAGATGATTCAGATGGCTTCTTTTCAATACTTCGGGTTTGTCATAGGCACTGTATTAGAGTGTGTCACATTTTTGAAGGAATTTGGCACCGACTTCGCTTTTCCACTTCTAACTCTCTAAGTTTGAAGAGTGCCTGCCAAGATCGTTATACATGCATCCTAATAAATATATTTTCACCAATTTTCGAAGTTCCCTTTTACTTCAAGTGTCAATATTGTATGTGTTATGATAAGAGTAGTTTAATTAGTTATGGTTTTTACTGCTATTTGGAATAAATATGCTTAGGCTATATTTATAGCAAAGCTCAATATTTGCAAATCATACAGACAGCATGATTTATATGTGATCATTAAGATACACACTTAGCTTAATTTCAATCATTATTTCTGTGTCCTTAGGTAAGTAGGAAGGTAGGTAAAATTCCCTCAAAATTATAGACACAAAATTTAGAATATTTCTTTTGTCTTCTTTATTGCTTTTTTGGCTTAGTTGAGTCATAATTGACATTAATGTCATTTAATGTTTCCTTACCTTAACATTACTGTAAGAAGAAAATGTGTAGAGTATGCCTTAATAAACTACACAAAAACAAAGTTTATTATTATTTTTGGATATACATAAAATTTTAAAACAATTTTAGAATATATAAGTGTTTGGCCAGGCACAGTGACTCACACTTGTAATCCCAGCACTTTGGGAGACTGAGGCAGGTGGACCAGGCGATCAGGAGATCAAGATCATCCTGGCCAACATGGTGAAACCCCTGTCTCTACTAAAAAAAAAAATACAAAATTAGTCAGGCGTGGTGGCAGGTGCATGTAATCCCAGCTACTGGAAAGTCTGAGGCAGGAGAATTGCCTGGACCTGGGAGGCGGAGGCTGCAGTGAGCCAAGATCAAGCCACTGCACTCCAGCCTTTGAGTGACTCTGTCAAAACAAACAAACAAACAAACAAACAAACAAACAAAAGCACTTAAAAATTCTCTCTATCCCAACCGTGTTTAGAAGATACACTATGCCAGTTATTTCCTTTAATTTGTCTAATAAAACTTAAAATTATTTTACTGCTTTCTGGAACTAAGATTTTCACAAATTATACCGAGTTGAAACCTATTTGCTTATGTTTGGAATCCTTTGCTTCATAAAAGGCTGTCACTCTCATTGTCATCAAAAGATTTACATGATGCATTTTTAGATGACAGAGACCATAAACCTCTCTGATTATGTGGAATAACAAATGTCTTAACTTTTGAACTGATTTTTCCACTAGTTTATGTATTACTTGAATTATTAATACAAAGAATTATGTTTCCTCTGAAAATTTATTTGAAAACCAGAGTATTTAATAACATAGAAAATATGAGCTTATTTTTCTAATTTTTTTTTGTGAATATAGAGAAAAACATTGGCTATTTCTTATGAAAATAGGAAGACAAAAATGGTTTGAAATAAATTTATTTTTCTCTTCTACATTTTTTTGATTTTACATTTATTTTACATAGTATTTATTTCAGAATATCTACAGATTATTAATTTGTATAAGTACTTGTGATTTTTAAATACTACCAGATGTGTTTTTATATATGAATATCAAAAAAACTCCACAAATTTTCCAAGTGGAAATATTGAAATTAAAGAAACAAATATGGTTCTATTAGATGAGAATGAGTTGGGTGATTATGGCTCATTTTTATTTGATAATAATTCAAATATCCTAGCAATGGCTAAAGATAGTGGCAAGGTCAATATAAGAAAGCTATTGCTGACTATTAAGGGAAAACTATTCTGCAAATCATTTTCCTGATTGTCATCCTGTTGAACCTCATGTTATTTAACTGTAGAAGTTAGCTTTTCCCCAAGTAAAATTGCAAGCAGCCATTTTACTTGATTTTGCTGGATTCTGTGCTTTCCCAAAGCAAGCTATATCTTCTTAATTTGTTTATTCTATGAAAAGGCAATATATAGATTTTACAAAAAACACAAAATCTAACTGAGCTTTCTTTATCTCTTTTTTCCCATGAAGGTTCATTTTGAATCTACTTGAACTATAGTAAGCAATTTTTTTAATGAGGCTCAGATAATCAAATAAAAATTATGTGTGATACCTGGTCTCAGAGTATGATCTTCCAGAGGTTATCTTTAGATTAGAATGGCTTTATAAACATAGAGATAATTTCGCATTCATATTTTAAACCACGAGTTTAAATTCACAAAGATTTCCCTGCCAGTTTTAATATAGCAAATATGTTCTCTGGAGCAAGTAATTCCCCTCCAACTTTAAGATCCTGACGTTCCCTTTTTAATGCCTGAAGTACAGAGCTCAAAGAAAACATTTAGCAATAAAGGACAGGTACTGAGGAACGAACCTTAGAAACTACACGATTATTGATCAAAATTCAAAGAGTGAACATTTTCTTTTTTAATGTTGTTTATAATTGAGCAAGAGTAGATTTGACCAGCATACAGCTTGGTAAACATTTTGATACATTTTGAGACTTGCAACTCCTGCTAAGAATTGCTCAGGAACTCCAGATTTCTCAGGCTTGGTAAGAGCCTTATAAAAAGTTTAGCTTGGGTGCTTCCAGGAAAGGACACAGAGCAATGCATGTTTTCTTCTGTGATCAGGGGCAGGCAGAGCTCAGATTTGCTAATCTCAGTTTGGCACAAATAAATAACCACCTGGTTGACTGCTAGTTATAATAGCTTTCATTAAACAGAAGTGGATGCAAAAAACTACTTTATTTGTTACAATATTTTCTTTAGATATTCCCATAACCATTTGATCTAATAATGTGGGAATAAGGAAAAGATTTAGAAAGCTAGGTGTATCTGGAGAAGGGCGACATTTTTCATCAAGAAGCTAAATAACTTTCCCTAAAAATGACTGCATTATCACAGATTTAAAAAATTACAGTAAGAATACCAAGCCATGAGTTATTTCTTCGTGAAGCTAATTTTAAACTACAGCCTTTCCTCTTCCCAACTGCAACAGTTTTGGAGAGATTTATGTATGCAATATTAGCTTTATGTATGGGAATACAGTCAATTCTTGTTATATTCTATAAAGTCTCTGGAACACTGACTTTACAAATACTGAACCTTTGCTTCTTGGGAAAATGCAGGGTTAGAATCCTGTAAACCACTCTGGTCATAATGTTTTTGTCAAGCAATCAATATATAACCTTGTTGTATGTGTGTTTCTATTTGAAGACACCGTATTTGATATATATTGTTGAGTCATTATCATTGAACTCATGCAGACAGAAGTATAACTCATGCCTGAACATAGCTTATCTAACACAGATATTTTCTCCCTGAGGTTCATCACAGCCTTCTTGCCCTTAGGAGCACTAGAGAGATAGTTCTTACTTACGCTGCTTGGAGGCTATTTTAAACAGCAAAGTCATCTGCATAAAGCACAAAAATGGGAAAAATGTAGCATGAAATAGACCTCAAAAAGGACACTTGTTTACAGTATGAAAGCTAAAACAAGAAGGCAGAGCATTGCCTTGTCTGACCTCAGCTGAGAATGTGCATATCAGGCAACTTAAATTTTTTAGTGCTCTGCACATGTCGTCAAATAACCATGAAAGCACTGCAAGTATTGATTTTAGGGCTGCAAATAAGTCTTATTGAGTAGGAAAATTGGCAAATACAGAATCTGGAAATAATGAGGAATGACTCTACAACGTATTTTGAGAAATAATGATTTTGAAATGTGTTTGTATGTAAGGTCACTCTACGGAGTCTCTTAATTCTAAAAAGTGATTTTATCATTTTACAGTTGGATGAGATCTTAGGATCCAACTAGTCCAAACTCCCATAGCATACAGCAATTTCCTAAAAAATATTTCTGAAGAATTTACATCAAATTTAGGTTTGAATACTTACCATATTTACTGTGAATGAGACCTTACACATTTCACAGGCACTTTAGGACTTTGGCTGTTTTAATGTGGCATATAGGTTTCTTCTACTTTCTCTCTCTCTCTCTTTTTGTTGAGAGATTGGGTTGACTCTGTTATCCAGGGTTGACTGTAGTGGTGCAATCATAGCTCATTGTACCCTTGACTTTCTGGGCTCAAGTAATCCTCCCACCTTAGACTCTGGAGTAGTTGGGACTACAGGTGCACATCATCAAGACCAGCTAATTTTTTTTTTTTTTTTT